GTCAAGAACAGCAGCGACAAAAGAGCCTGCAATAAAACAAATGAATAGATCGGCTATAATAGACCATAGAACATCAAAAGAAAATTTCCAGAATGAAGGAGAGCTTTTACAAGAGGACAAATTCTCGGCCTTAAATTTATCTTTCCAACCTTTACTGCAAACATAATATTGATGCCAGCGCGTATATGACATACATACCAAATTAAATCCCGAAGAAAATATTGAGTTATTGCCGTTTGAGCAGGTGCTTGCTGACTGCCCAACTCGGGGATCATTTATTAACATAGCGTACACTAATCCATGATACTTGTAATCATTAAAAAGTGACATCAAAAAACCTCCGCATGCCAAAAAACCTGTGTTTAAATAGAATAGCCCTCCCCGTTTAAAAAAAAAAAGCTTGCATCTTGCAGTACAAAATGTGCTTAGTTCTATCAGCATCTTGTATACGTCTTCTGCAGTATTTTTTTAAATCGAGAACAAAAAACAGCGAACTGCTTTTAAAAGTAAAGGAAGATTCATTGCAAAAATCTAAATCCAGCTCACCATTTTTCTGGAGTTCGAAATTTGGCTCTATACAAATTTGACCAACATTTTCCATGATGCCAAAAAACTCAACGATATCATCTACTGTTTTCTCGTTTGGCCGGATACGTTATTGGCGCAAGTTATATTTTAATCTCTTCAAATCATGTCTCGCTGTTCATAGATGCGATACAAGTTGGACAGCTTCGTAACGAGAGTTCCTCCAATTGGTATATGTTTTCATATTATTGATGTCAGCGCGTAAAAATAACAAACCAAATGAATGTGCAATTTAATACAGTAATTTAATCTGAATATTCTTTGTTTCACCTTTCGAAAGTTAAAAAAAAATCTTTTCCGTTTCCGGGTCTTTGTGTCACGGTATTGCACAGGATTTCGTTTTAAGCAAATTTTCCCGATCATGAAATGTACCTGAAACAACACAGCGGGAGCAGGTGTGGCTCTGGTCAATTGAATGTGAGTCAAAATTTCAGGCATCTGTCCTTCTCTTGCACCGACGTAAAACAATCTGAAATAAAAATCGCAGTTAATAAGGC